ATTGAAAAATTTACTCCAGGAAAGAAGAGATATTTTCTCACTTTTACAGATGATTACTCCAGGTATACTATCCTATATCTGTTACACAGCAAAAGTGAAGTACCAGAGAAACTTGAACAGTATTTGGCTTAAAGCGGAGTTCCACTCACCCTGGCAAAAAATAAACATCAGCAGCTACAAAAACTGTAGCTGCTGACTTTTAAAAAACAGCCACTTACCTGTCCCTCGGTCCCGCTGTGTGTCCCCCGTAGCCCATTTCACTGGCCGCCCTGTATTCCAAGAGGCCGGCATCTTCAGTGTGGGCACCCGCCTGTGACAGCTTGTAACCTCACAGCCGGGTACCAACTGTGCATGAGCGAGTAGCGCTTCGCTTCATGAATGGTCCTGTAGTCTTCTGGAACCTGTCACGTGTCCCAAAAGACTACAGGGAGGGAGGACACTTTCCGCTTCCGATAGCCTAGGTAATCGACCAGAAGTGGGAGTGGGTACCTGTCAAATTCAGGTACCCACCCCACCCCCGCCCCCCAAAGATGCCAATCCTTAATGGGGAGCGGGGGAGCAGTCCTTAAAGCGGAACTTCCCATTTTGGGTGGCGCTCCGCTTTAAGTAACAGATTTGGCAAAATGCCAAGTGTATTGCATACAGACAATGAAACGGAATACATGGATAAAAACACACAAGTGATTCTCAGAAAGTATGGCATAATATTTCAAAATGCTGTACCATACAACCCAGAACAAAAGGGGTTGCAGAAAGAATGAATTGTACTCTGAGGCTACCAGGAAAATCAACTGAGAAAAGTTCATGAACTGTGGAATGGAAGGCCCCGAATTTGAACCATCTAAAAATTTTGTGAACTAAAGCCTAAGTGCACATCCCAAAAGAAAAACATACAAACGGGATGCTTGCGTAAAGGAAGAGTATTTGTGGGGTACAGTGAATCTCAAAAGGGATGCAGAATTCTACATCCAGACACAAACGAGGTAACCATCAGTAGAAATGTAACTGTTGATGAAACTTCAGTGTGTCCAAAATTTCATGAACTAACACAAACACTTCAAACTTAGGGAAATTCCACATCAGTATCACATGGAGATAAGCAACAAAGTAACACAGAAATAGAAATTAACACAACCAATCCAAATACCATGAAAATAAGAAACAAGGCCACAAGAGGCTTCAATCAGGAATTCAACTAGAAGCAAAAAAGGCATCCCAGCCAAACGTCTATCCTATGTTGCTCGCGTACCATTAAAACCATGGGATGAGATGCAAAGACTTCCAACCCATGAAAATCAAAAGTGGATCAGAGTTGATGATGAAGAGATGACATCTCTTTGTAAACTGCACACATGGACACTTTCAGAGCTACCTCACGGTAAACAAGATTGCAGATGTTTTGACAAAACCGCTTACAGGAAACAGATTTATAGAACTGAGATCCAAAATGGGACTAATACAGGGGAAACTCGAAAAATTAGAATATCGTGAAAAAGTTCATTTATTTCAGTAATGCAACTTAAAAGTTGAAAAACTAATATATGAGATAGACTCATTACATGCAAAGCAAGATAGTTCAAGCCGTGATTTGTCATAATTGTGATGATTATGGCTTATAGCTCATGAAAACCCCAAATCCACAATCTCAGAAAATTAGAATATTGTGAAAAGGTGCAATATTCTGAAATAAATTAGCTTTTGCACGATATTCTAATTTTTCTAGTTGCACCTGTATAAGGAGTAGTTGTTGAGTGGGGGTGTTGTAATACAATGTTTATGTTTTTTTGCACAACTTCTGTACATCAGTATCAGTATTCAGTAGAGATATTTTCTTCAACCGGTAGATGGCAGTGCAGTGAAATTATCGACCAGCATAACTGCTTATTTCTCTGAGAGTGACAGTCTGCAATCCTATCCTGCTGCTCCCAAAGGACGTCAAGTGACGAAACACGTAGGGAGGGGCCAGGAGGTGACGTTAACACGCACAGCATTGTTGTCTCACGGTTGTCATTTCTACATGTTTGGGGATAACAGTACTCACGATTTATGCCTGTTCCACTTGTGTCAGTGGAGACACGGAACATTGTGTAGGTGCATATGTTTTGCAGTTTTAATAAACATTTTAAATGGTTTTACCCTATGGAGGCTCCTTCTCCCCTTTATTTCCTATGAGTGGTATATCAATTTAATCAATAGCCGCCCGGCCAATAGCCGTTTGGCGGCCGGGAAAAGGCTGTAGATTGTCGGGTGGATGCCGTAAGGCGTCCTCCCGCACATGCGCAGTTTTCGCGCTTGCAGAGCCGCGCAGCAGCGCGATCTGTCATCGGCCATGTACCTCGGACACGGACGATGACAGATCTGAGTACCGGCCCCCGTTGCCGGTACCATGTGACCTGCTGTGACCAATCACAGCAGGTCACATGACAGTTGTATACAATGGATGGCTTCATTCATGCCATCCATTGTATACTAGTGTCTAGCTGTGAATGGTCACAGCGATCACATGCACATGTCATGTGATTAGCTGTGGCCAAATCACAGCTAAGCACAAAAAAAAAAAACCCCCTGAATGAATCGATGTCATTCAGGTAAATGCTTGCTTATAGCAAAGTAATTCTTTGCTATAAGCAAATTGTGTAAAAAAAAAAAATACAAAAAAATACTGATCACTTCCCCAAAGTAGTACACTGTTACTATGGTAACATTTGTACCACTTTGGACATAGTGAAATATGAAAAAAAATCTTTAAAAAAAAAAAAAAAAATGTAATAAAAAATTTAAAAAATTTTTGTTGGTGTCATTGGTGTCAACTAATAGCACTTTATTATTGAGGAACTGCACGGATTGAATGGTCACAAGGAGTTATGTTGGACTTTGTGATGATGTGATGACATCCATAGTCATTTAATGGACACATTCTTTGGCACTTTATTGTTTTATTTGATTGCACTAATCACTTTATAATTTGTAAATTTGTTCCATATATTTCAAATGTGATGAGATAGAACGTTATGTATTACTCACAGATTATATTGTATTAGACTATATGTTTATTGGAGGTATAGGTGGGCTTGTTACATTTCATTAGTTTTTTGCATAAAAAATTTGTATTACATTTTGCACAAGGGGATTTTTCTATATGTATATTGTTTAGATATTCCATCTTTTGGATTAGATATCAGTGAGCAGCACTGTTACATATGTAAAGATTTGTTCATTTATTAGGATTCCACTAAGAATGGCAGCTACCTGTTAGGTTTGTGTTTTTTCTCTCTGTGAGTGGTCTAGGGGTCCACAGCACAGTCCTACATATTATATTCATTGTGTATAATTGTGTTGTTAGCTGTGATTGATCACAATGATCACATGGTACAGGCCAATCACAGCCCATCTGCATCATGTGATTAGATGTGGCCAATCACAGCTAATCACAATACACAGTGAATTAATCAATTTTATTTAGTAAAAATGGTTGCTTATACCATGGATTTTCATTGGTACAAGCTATCATGAAAAAAAATCCCCTGATCACTCCCCCAGTAGTACAATGTTACTATGGTAACATTATATTGCTCTGGTCACAGTGTGAAAAAAATTGGGAAAAAAAAAGGAATTAAAAAAATTAGGATTTTTTTTTTTTTACTTACTGTCACCAGTCTAGGTCTCTGATCACCACCACACCAGTTATGACTCTGTACTGCACTGGTAACAGTATGTGATGGGGAAATTGTATATTTGTATTTCGTTATTGTTGTTGGCTCACAATATCTAACAAGGAGACAAGGATGATCACTTTAGATGTCTCACACCAAAGAAATGTTACTGAAAACTCACCAAGTCCTTAAAAGGTCATATTACTTGCAGTTGGGAGCTGGACATTCCCTACACACAAGTCCAGTATATAACACACAGCTAGACTGGAAATATTTGTCTTGACCTAGAACATGTGTTAAGCATGCGTCTATTCTGATCATGTGCCATGCCATATAATGGAGGAACCCATGGCGGAAACAGCATCTTTAGTTAAGTATTCTTATACTTATATATAATGTTATACTTATATATATGATATTTGTGAGATCTCTCTTTGCACATATTGAATACAGTCCCAAAACCCTAACAAAACACATGGTACCAGAAGTGGGGTTCGATCTGTGGAAACTAGAGATATGAATAATGATGCAGATTTGTGCTATTATTATTATTATACAGGATTTATATAGCGCCAACAGTTTGCTCAGTGCTTTACAATATATCGGAAGACAATACAGCAACAATATAGTTCAATACAAGAGGGATTAGGAGGGCCCTGCTGCTTGGCGCTTACAATCTAAGAGCTAGATTGTTTGTGTTGGGTTTAATGTTGTGTTTTTGTTTTGTAAGCTATAGTACATTCAGAAAATGTTTCAGATACTTAGCTGGTTTAATTGAGATGCTAGTAGGTGATCAGGTGCGAGCCCACTCCTGTGTTGGGTGGAATCCCATTGCGCTCGCGTTCCTTACCAATTGGTGAAGGAATTGTTTTGGTTTGATAAATTGAGTGAGAGACTGATGTACAAGGGAGTGGTTGTATTGTCAGGAAGCTTAAATTTGTGACAATCGTAGGCAAGTTTCAGAGAATTAGCTTTTCTTAGGTTTGAAAATGATGAGCTGATGCTTGTGAGTACTGCAGTAATGTAAAAGATGTACAGTATTTTTCACTCCAAAAAATGGGGGAAAAAGTCTGTGCATCTTATGGAGCGAATACCGGGCGGCCGCTCAGTTCTTCTCTGCAGCAGAGCTTTACCTGTTCCTCAGCTGTACATCTTTAGTGTGGGCACTCGGCTGTGACAGCCGGGTGCTCACTGCGCATGCGCGATAAGCGCTGCGCTTTGTGAATGGTCCGGCAGTTTTCTGGGACCTGTCACGTGTCTCAGAAGACGGAGAGGGAGGACAACTCCACAGAAGTGGGAGCGGGTACCTGTCAAATTCGGGTACCTGCTCCCCCTCCCTTCCCAAAGGTCCGCAGTCTCTGGTCATCCCCTGTACTATGCCCGCAGTCTCTTGTCATCTCCTGTACTATGTCCGCAGTCTCTGGTCATCTCCTGTACTATGTCCGCAGTCTCTGGTCATCTCCTGTACCTCGTCTGCAGTCTCTGGTCATCTCCTGTACCATGTCCGCAGTCTCTGGTCATCTCCTGTACCTCGTCTGCAGTCTCTGGTCATCTCCTGTACCATGTCCGCTCTCTGTATCTCCATGTCCGCAGTCTCTGGTCATCTCCTGTACTATGTCTGCAGTCTCTGGTCATCTCCTATACTGTGTCCGCAGTCTCTGGTCATCTCCTGTACTATGTCCTAGTCTTGGTCATCTCCTATACTGTGTCCGCAGTCTCTGGTCATCTCCTATACTATGTCCGCAGTCTTGGTCATCTCCTATACTGTGTCCGCAGTCTCTGGTCATCTCCTGTACTATGTCCGCAGTGCTGGTCATCTCCTGGTCCGCAGTCTCTAGTCATATACTAGTCTCTGTCCGCAGTCTCTGGTCATCTCCTGTACTATGTCCACAGTCTCTGGTCATCTCCTGTACTATATCTGCAGTCTCTGGTCATTTCCTGTACTATATCTGCAGTCCATTGGTTCAGAATATTTTTTTTCTTGTTTTCCTCCTCTAAAACCTAGGTAAGTCTTACAGTCAGGTGCGTTTTATGGAGCGAAAAATATGGTATGTATGTTGGAATCTCAACTTGTTTTGTTTGTAGATAGTGAATGTTGAGGACATGGTAATTGATGGTGTTTTGTCTGTGGTAAATGTGAAAACGTTACCTGAATTAAGATAGAAAGGTAACACTAAGTACAGCTCATGTGCAAAATAAGATTGGCTACTTATATTTGAAGGCCTACGTAAGTTTAACATTAGAATGGTTAAGTAATGAAATTAAGGTAAGAGCTCTGTAAAGTTGTATATGAGAAAATTGAGAGCTTTTGAAATCATTTGAAGCAGAGATAACTGCAGGTTTGGGATGTATATGTGCATATGATGCCTTCCTTGCTCCTGGATGGACAATGGCTGTAGTCTGTGCCTGTGTGTAGATGATCCCTCCCTTGCTCCTCGATGGACAATGGCTGTAGTCTTTGCCTGTGTGTAGATGACCCCTCCCTTGCTCCTCCATGGACAATGGCTGTAGTCTTTGCCTGTGTGTAAATTACCCCTCCCTTGCTTCTTGATGGACAATGGCTGTAGTCTTTGCCTGTGTGTAGATGACCCCTCCCTTGCTCCTCCATGGACAATGGCTGTAGTCTTTGCCTGTGTGTAGATGACCCCTCCCTTGCTCCTCCATGGACAATGGCTGTAGTCTTTGCCTGTGTGTAGATGACCCCTCTCTTGCTCCTCCATGGACAATGGCTGTAGTCTTTGCCTGTGTGTAGATGACCCCTCCCTTGCTCCTCCATGGACAATGGCTGTAGTCTTTGCCTGTATGTAGATGACCCTTCCCTTACCTGCCTTGTGTGTCTGTATAAAAAAGAGAGAGAAAGCTTGCAGAACCCCCTTAATAGAAAGTCTGTCTGTGAAGCAAGACATTTTTTGACCAGCTGTGAAATGACTAGTATAACATGTGATGTTAAAATTTGGGTGATATGCAAGGCAAAGGGAAATGTTTAATTATGGTGCAAAATAAAATCCTACTTGAAATTGTTACTTTTTACTATGTAACTCATTAGGTAATTTGAAACAAAGAAGATAAAATGGCTGATTGTGGTTGACATTCCCTTGCTGCTTGTGGCCGACATCCTTTAAATTCCTGAAAAAGCAGCCATGATTATTATAATTATTTAAATGTTTAGCTCTCTATTCCAGCCTTCTGGTCGTGGAAAAGGAAGAAGTGATGGAATACAACTTAAGCACCACCCACAAATACAAATGTGTGCCTGTTTCTTTAATGGAAGCCATTTACTAGTTGCTCAGCTAGTAAAGGTCTACATGACATGTTAAATATATGACCAAGCTAAAAGTGACAGATTAAGTTAGGACAATGGTGAATGATCACTAGATATGGACATGTATATATTTGTATTGTCCTTATAGGTGATTGTAATAAAGTGTAATATTTTTTAAGAATATAACACTGTTTTTAAGTTTTTTTTTTTCGTTAAAACAGAAAGAACTAGATCTGTCCCCAGAAGGTTAGGAGTTTCCAAGATCTGTATGGGACTTAACAACAGGATGAAATAGAAAAATCAAAATGGATGGTGATGTATAATGTTTGTGTACAAATGTGGTGAATCTGTAAATGTAATCTCAACCATGGTAAATTATTGATATATTTTGATGGACGCCCTTTAATGAAAATCCACGTGGTAATAATTAATTAATGTATTAATTAATTGATATGAGCTCATTGAATATGGGCAAAGTGCACTCATGAGTCATCAATATAATGGCCATATGTTTTGTGTCTTGTGTAATATGTGTTCTGTGCTAATCATTCATTTATTTCTAGGAAGGAAATTTATTGATACCTCACTAAGACCTTTTTATTTTGTTTAGTTCCTAGATAATACTAAACGGCATTAGAATATGGTTTATTGGAAAGAAGTAAAGAAGGTTTACTTGTTTACATGAATGCCAGCTTGAATGTATGCTAATCATATCATTTTGGTTTATTGCAATGGATGCAAATGTTAAAGGTGCTCTAAACACTGATATATACTTAGTTATATCTGACACTCAGCAATCCTTTGGCCACCACATTTGATACACCTGAATGGATGTTAATAAAATCTTCTTGGTAGACAATCATAATGAAATAGGTTCCCAGGTTTGATTTTTCTCAACCCTCCCTGATTCATTTCGGGTAGGACTGGCATGAAGAGTATGGTGACACATATGTATGGGTAATTTGTGCACACATATTGGGGTCAATGTAGACAAGAGCCAGTTAGCCTGCCAGAATGTATCTAGAGTGTGGAGGAGGAGACCGGAATACACAGAGGAAACACAAACATTACGTATTGTGAAGTTTGGGCCTATAGTTTGACAGTTTAGTTTAAATACAGAGTAGTGCAGAAATCAGGTGGTAGATGGGTGGTGTAACAACATTTCACCTTTAAGAAAAAAAGCTGAGATTTTCTTTATAGTTAGGTCAGGTCACTAGGGATCATGGATTTACTTGTTCAGAATCTATCATAAGCTATATGGGCATTGTTGTTAGTTATGGAATTGTTATTGGACTGACAGCCTTGGCAATACACCTGCCTTGCCGTCAACCAGAAACATGTTGGAGAAAGGAGATAAAAGCTTTTGACAGCAGCAACCATCAGTAAAGAGACTTTGCCACTGATCAGCAGCTGAACTATTGGTGCAAGTTCCACCTGCTCTGATGGTCAGTTACCTGAATTGTTCCATCCACTATCTCGGTCAAGTACCTGAACTGTCATGATGGTCAAGTCAAAAGTTCCATCTACCATGGTGGTCAAGTGTCTGCACGTCTATGACTTGTAAACTTTAATAGTCCGAAGGATAAAATGGACTTTGTATTCTACAGTTCTTTGATTTTTACAGAGTTGCATGTGCTGTGCTGCAGCTGCGATCTAATCATCGGATGTCTAAGACTCTGCTGTCCAGATATGGAGGACTGTGACAAGCTTCTAAACTCTTGGAAAAGAAAGTCTGATGTTCGTGTCTGCTCCTGTGCTTTCGAATTCTTGAAAGGAAAAGTTTGGTGTTCTTTTGTTAGCCCAGCAAATAGTTTTTTTTTTTTTTAATTTTTTTAATTTTGGATTTTTTAGCCCTAAGATAACCGAATGAGATTTTCTGTGTAGGTAAAATTAGACTGGGAACGTAGACATCTACACTCCATAGATACACTTTAGATCCCCCGTTTTTCATTTAAGGTAAATTTAACCGGGGGGTGGAAAAACACAATTATTCAATTGTTTACAATAATTGGGTGCTTTCTCTCCACTGTTGACTGTTGCCTTTATGTACAGTGGGAGGCAACCCTGTATGATATTTGTGAGCCATGGGGTGGAGTGATGGGGAAATTGTATATTTTACATTTCCTTATTATTGTTGGCTCACAATATCTAATAAGGAGACAAGGATGGTCACTTTATATGACTCACACCAAAGGAATGTTACTGAAAATTGACCAAGTCCTTAAAAGGTCATATTACTTGCAGTTGGGGGCTAGACATTCCCTACACACAAGTCCAGTATATAACACACAGCTAGACAGGAAATTTTTGTCTCGACCCAGAGCTTGCGTTAAGCATGCGTCTATTCTGATCATCGGCCACACCATTTATTATGGAGGGACCCGTGGCAGAAACAGCATCTTTAGTTAAGTACTCTTGTTATATTTTCTTTTTCTTTATCTATATCTGTCATTACTTGTAATAAATGTTTTACCTATAAGTATTTGTGTTATCTCTTTGCACATATCGAATACAACTCCAAAACCCTAAACAAAACAGTATGTGAAAAATATTCTTTTTAATTACTTAAATATCCAAAAAATTATGACAAAAAATTACAACTTAAAAAAACTCGCCATGCCTCTTACTAAATACCTTGGACTGTCTACTTTCCAAAAAGGGGTAATTTGGGTTTATATTTGTACTGACCAGACATTTTTGGGCCTCATGAAATTAGTACATCCGGATTGATCAATTTACATATATATACCATAGTTGTCGACACTATATCTTTCTTACAGACTAAATAATAAACACTGATTTGGGTTATTTTCACCAAAGAAATGTAGCAGAATATTTTTGGCCAACATTTATGAAGAAAGATTATTTAATTGCAAAATGTTATAACAGAAACAAAGAAGACCACATTTTTTTTCTAAATTTTCAGACTTTTTTTGTTTATTTAGCAAAAAATTAAATTACACCAAAATAATACTCTATTTGCATGAAGAAAATTATAAAAATTTCATATGGGTACAATGTTGCATGACCGCGTAAGTGTCATTCAAAGTGTGAGAGCGCTGAAAGCTGAAACCTGGCCTGGGCAAGGGGGTGAAAGTGCCCAGTATTGAAGTGGTTAAACTTGTATAAATATATAATGTGTTGCGCTCCCAGTGACAATATCTTTGATGTATATATCTAATTAACCTTGCTATGCAAAATGATTTTCAGGTATTAAAAAATATATGCAAAATCAAACTATGTGAGTGATTTAAAAAAATATAAACCACTATAGTGTATAAATAAATTAGATAATAATAACCGCAAAACCAATGAATAGTGCATAGTGAACTAAAATATATAACTGAAAATAATACACATCATGAATAGTGAAATACTCAAAAAAAATTATATATATACTGCCAAATAATTGTGATATAAATGTCCTTTAAATACAGTGACTTTGTGCTTGAATAAATCTTGATTTGGTGACTTTTTGTGAATCTGTGACTTTCTTTGAATCCTCAATTGGTAAAGATGTATGCTCACCTCCTTGTTAGCCTGCAATTAGGCTATACACACTTGTGGTTCACCTCCTATGGAACCTGCTTAGATGGAATTCCTCTTTTGTGAATGGTAAGAACGTGGATATGCGTTATCCTCAGATTGCCCATGTGCGTTTTTCCATATGTGGGAACA